TGTGTGTGTGTGTGTTGGGGAGTACTGATTAATCAAAGGGACAATGGTATAAGGGGAAAATGCTTTTGGTCAGTTTGGTTTCACCGTGCCTTCATTGCTATAAACACAGTGGGTATGCATGCCCCTTTATTGTCTGTTTTACATTTCACAGAGGCTCTTGCACCGTGTAAGACCCACAGATGTGTCCATGTTTACACTTACTTGCTGTACAGTGAAGATCCGTACAACATTGTTTTATTATCAGTCAGGATATAAAGATACCACTAATGGAGAAAATTAGGCTTAAAGGGGATTTGTATCATTTTAACAATCAGCCATAAGTCATTCAGATATTTCTATAGGTAGCTTCTGAAACTCCAATCTGTGCAATATGAATATGAATATGAAGTGCTGCTCTCAACTGGTGCAAGCAGGATGTGGCTATTCCTGGGGTCAGACCTGTGATTTTTTTATTTACATAACCATCTTTTGAAATGGCAGCTCCAATATTTGACATATGACAGTTATTATAACATACTAAGGTTGCACATCTTGCATCCTGAGAAAGCTGGTCTCTTTATGTCTGAATTTCACCACAATGGGTCCAAATGTAGAGCAGGTGGATTGATTCACACTTTAACTTTGCACATAGATACTATATGGACTATTTGAGTGTTTGTTAAAAACACCCCCAACACAGCTCTGCATCACTCTCAGCTGGATGTTTTTCCTTTAGATTACATTTAGAGCACATGAGATGCTGCTTCAACACCACCATTTACCAACAGCAGAATAGATGAAAGGTCAGAGGTCACAGCACCTTGAGTGTCAATATGATACCCAAGGGTCAATATGCACTCTAGAATATAATTATATTGATGTCTGACATTGCTGGGTATATTTTGGCCAAAGGCATTTATTTTATTATTTGTTTAATATAAGCTTAAATGTATTATTTGCAACAATATGTTACAGTGATCTTAATACTGAACTTCTTGAAACAACTTTGTTTAAATACAATCAGACATAAAATGATTAAAAGTATGTTTTAAATCAGCCAATATTAAACAAGATGAAAATCACCAGGGACTTGATGCTGCCTTTCAGTACCACTTTCAATACAGCAAATTGTCACAAATGATGCATGGAAACTAAGTTACTACTGTTCTACAAGTTTTATGTTACTGTGTAGTTTTCTACTTTTGTACCATTTTATGTGCTATTTGGTTACATGTCCCATGAAATACTTCTCCAAAGTGTTGAACTGAATTGAACTGAAACTTTAAAGAGAGCAGGATAATAGATGTATGGGGGCCAACATGCACACCAGTATGATGGTGACATAATGTCATTGGTTGTTTTCACAGACAACTTAATAGAACCTGTTTAGCAGTAGAGCTGGATATAATGTGGGATTCCTAGTAAATGTATTGGGTGAAGGTTTGGGTAGAGCGTGTTAAGTCTTTGGTGGAGACTAAAAAAACAACCTGATTTTTCATTAATGCAAACAAGTCACAGCTGTAATGCTCGGTAAGAGGCTGCAACACATCTGTGACAGAGGAGAAGATGGTGTGGGCTCCAAAGCAAAACACAAAATAAGAAAACTATGTGGCAGAAAATGTTCAGTATATCTGTGAGACTTTATTTAGATGCATTTTGGTGGAAAATGTAGCATTCAGGTGACATATGGCATATCTAGGGAAATGAAAAGGTAACCCTAGCAATAGTAATGCTATATTCTACTGCTCATTGATTCATACAGAAATGTTGTGGAATCGTTTGTAAAGTTTCTGAGCATAAAACCTTGAATAGAGAAAATCTCATTTCTGCCCTGAGCTCATGCAGGTTCATTAAAAACAGGCTTGTTAAATTAAAAGTCCTGCTGCTCTGCTGCTGCATAAATGCCCACTGAGCTCTTATTTAGTGGAACTACTGTTTGTGAAGCCTGTTCTGCCCCTGCGCTTTATCACTTGTCCTGATGCTTCTCTCTATCTAAAAGGATATTTGTTCTCATAATCTCAGTGGGATTAGCAGTTAAATAACTGTGAAGTAAAAGCATGAAACAACAAGGGGTCAGGCAGGCAGATGTGAGCCCGCTCTCACTCTGACCTGTACTTTAGAGAGAAGCTGCTCTCTGCTCTGTAGTGTGCTGTCATGGAGATGTTTGGAGGGTTCGGACCAGCTGATGGAGCTGATGTTTCAACAGCAGCTTTACACAGGAAGCTGCAGAGGCTTTCAGGGTTCACAACTCACACACATGCACACATGCTCAACTCACATCAGGCACCAAATATGTCTCCACTGTGTGTGTCTGTGAGCGTGCACGTGTTCCCATGGTTCAATGATCATCATGCGCTAGCACACACACCCTACCAAAAAACAACACTTACACCAACTTCTCTCTCTCTCTCTCTCTCTCTCTCTCTCTCTGGCCCGGGGAGTCTCGCGGTGGTTTGCTAATTGCCAGACAAATCGCCCGCGCGTTCTTTTTTTTTTTTTTTTGCCTCCGCGCCGTCGTTGCAAGCCCCGCGTTGCCCGAGAAATTTATTATTCTGGAGAGGCGCCGAGGCAGGG